GAGAGAGAGAGAGAGAGCGCGAGAGAGAGAGAGAGAGAGAGCGCGCGCGAGAGAGAGAGAACGCACGAGAGAGAGAGAGCGCGAGAGAGAGCGCACGAGAGAGAAAGCGCGCGCGAGAGAGAGCGCGCGACAGAATTGTCTTATTGCTAAGCTCGTCTGGATCCTCACAAATCAAGATTCGTCTGTCTTTTACATTACAGACCTCAGTAACAGAGCTACTCACCTCACGTGGTCACTAGAAAATAAAAGTTTCCCACCATACCTAAACAAAATCTTAGTTTATATAACATCATTTTAAATGCAAAGGTTCCAATTTAAAAATCACAGTTTATCCTAGAGCATGACAGTAGTTTAAACATTCACAACACATTCAATAATAATATTTTATTGGGATACAAACATTGCAAGTTATTCCTTTTACTCAAGATATCCCAAATTAACAACTTTGTAAGTGGGAAATAGGTCTCCTCAACAATTCCAACATAATGCAAAACTAAGCTGCACTGATTCGTGACACCAGTACCCCTTTCTGATTTTTATGACAGTTGAACAAACTAACAAATTGTACGTTGTTAGACTGAAACCCATTGTAGGTATTATTTGCCATTATGCTTGTTCTAACATCTTTCTTTTAAGAAAGGGAGGAATTTCAAAATTGTAGCTTTATCACTGGGAGCAGAACAAAGTTTGGATGCAAGATGTTGCAAAGTTATTGCAATGCAATTCAGACTGAGTGACAAAACTGGGATGTGTTGTACACTCTCACTGGTGAAATGAGTACCATGTGGGCTGAAAAACAATTTGTACTTCTATTGTGTCACCAAATAATTTAAATTTTTCTTCCAGCATTTGGGCTTAACTTTCAAGGGCTGTAATTAAAATTATGGCTTTTTGAATGAACAATGTCAAAACCACAGTCAGTACAATTTGACAACATTGCAGAAAGGGGCATCTGTAGATATTGCATCATGGTAACACTATCAGCCTTGAGAAAACTCCATTTTAAATACTGCAGGATGAGCAGCTTTTTAATACCATCATAGCTGAAGTATTTTATATGATGGAAAGCATTAGCCACTGCTCCCACTTACAACAGCAATGGAGTTATTCAAACTGTTGAATAGGTTTACATTATGAAGCTTGGTTTTGATGTGTTCATGAAGAAACAGCCTTTCAAAACATCAGGTGGTCTCAACAATGAATAGAGGTCAGTTTTACAAGTTGTAACGCAATTTATCAATTTTAGGAAGTCATACAACTATACAGTTTGGAAATAAGCCACGGGAGGAGCATTAACTCAGGAGTATTATTTCTTCCAACTGTCTACCTTTTCCACAATTGGAAGTTGTCTCTTCAGCAGCTGGGATTAGAGGGTGGGCTAATAGCAAAGAAAATCTCTGCAAATGTGAATTTATGCACTTACGTAGTGTTTCCACATGAACTTCAAGCTAAAGTTTGTTTAGGAACATAGGACTTAGGAGTAGTCCATTTGGCCCTTTCAGACTACTCAATATACCGAGAAGATCATGGAAAATATGCCCTTTGTCTCAATTCCGCTTTCCTGCCTGTCTCCCATAATCCTACACTCCTGTATTCATCAAAAATCTAACTCTGCCATGAATAAATGCAGTGGTCCAGCATTTGCTCCTTTCTGGAACACAGAGAATAACATACTATCAGAAATAATTCTCATCTTGGTCTTGAAAAGGATGCTGATTATTCATAGACTTTTATTAGAGGACTCGTTCTTAGATTACAATAATTCTTTTTCATATCAGGAGACTAAAACAATGCAAAGTACACAAATGTGGTTTTAAGGATACACTTTTATGCTCCCTTCCTCTTGCAATTAACAAGATTTTGCCTTCCTAATCACTTGCTGAACTTGTGTGTTAACTTTTATGATTCCAAGACACCCAAATCCATTTGTACAGCCAGATTCCATAATTTTTTTGCCCATTTAAGTAGTCTGCTGCTTTTTTTGTTCTTTCTGCCAAAATAGATGGGCTCACAATTTCCCACGTCATATGAATTTGGCAGGTAGACTGTCAGCTCATTGAACCTATGTAATGTCCTATGCAGTGACTCTATCTCCTCTTGATAAATTACATTCTTACCCATGTTTCTGTTTTCAGCAAATATAGCCACCATATATTCAATCCCTTAATCGAATTCATTGATGAGATTGAGCAGTTGAGGACTCAGCATCGATCTCAATTACACTCAACTGGTTACAATCTGCTAATTGATAGAAGGCCACATCCCACCCCATCATTCTATGAGGCTCCAGTGAAAATAAGCCTTGCCTGCCCAACTTTTCCACAAATAACATCTTCCCAAAAATCAAATCTAGTACCAATGCATTTCTTCAAAAAGGAGACCAAAATTGCACACAGTATTTGTGATGTTGTCTCACCAATACCCTGTGTAACTGAAGCAGGCCATAAATACTTTTGTTTTATAAAAGCATGCCAGAGAAAAACAGCAGGTCTGGCAGCAGCTTTAGAAAGAAAAACTGTTGGCATTTCAAGACCAGTGGCTCTCCATCAGAACTGATCCAACACGGAGGATTTTGGAAGATAGTTTGATGTTGCTTCATGTTGAGCATGTTAAGGTTATAGGTTCATAAAGGGAATTTTCAACAAAGCAAAGTCCCATATACTTGCGATCCATACTGAAACCTAGTTTTGGAAAGGGAGCTATTGTACAGAAAACAAAAATGGAGCTACCCAAAGCTTGTCCACATTGCGACAAGCCCTTTCCAGTATTATCCTTTAAAAGTGACTGTTCTGCTACCTTCCTTTTCTACATACAATCTCCTGAGATGTACAGTCTGCTCAAGGTTCCAAGAATGGCTTTGTGAAACCTGGGGCTTTATGTTCATTGACAAGCTGGTCAGTTCATTTATCATTTGAGCAGTAATTTAACAGCAGGACCTAATCTCAATTTTTGCCCAAAACTTCATTAAAAATCTTTTCAAGTGAGAATACAAAAAATTTTAAACCTTTTGAGGTCAACCCCATTGTTAGACACAATTCTATGGTACAAGCAAAATCAGAAGAGTTCAATCCAGCCCCATATCTGCAATTGAAGTAGGTGCAGATTATTAGGACCCAGAACCTTGGGAAATTTTTGAAAACAAAAACAGAAGTTGCTGGAAAAGCTTAGCAGTTTGGCAGCATCTGTGAAGAGAATTGAAAGTTAACGTTTCGGGTCTGGTGACCCTTCCTCAGAACCCTTGGGCAAGTTTTCCCTATTTTACTGAAGGACTGGAGGGCTATATGGCACCTTCACTATCCTATCGAATTCAACACTAATGATCAAGGTTTGATGAATCCTGCAAAATTATTTTTAAAAGATCTTCAATAGATTGACCTATGACAATGTGGCAGCTGCATTTGATAGTTCAATGACTATAATTATTTAAAAAGACAATTAGAATTGCAGAGAACTGAAGGTAAACGTTCCACAACACTCTCGTTTTTGATTCTCAGCAGATGTAGAGATTGTAAAGAATGGATGCTATCAAGGTTACCAGGGCAAAGTTATTGCTGTATTGTCTTTAAGTCATCCTACAGGCACACAGAGTCAATGATAGAATGGTGGATATGAAAACCAGCGGTTCGTGCATTAATAACAAATCTTGAAAAATGTTGAGCTTCTAAAGTGTTATTGCATTACAACCATTCAGGCAAGCAGTGAACATTTCATAACACTCTTCACTTCAACCTTGTAGATAGCAAGCTAGTTTTGAGGGCTCAGGAGATGAGCCTCTCATTACCAAGTACTCAGTTTCTGTTAGGCTTCTGTAGTCATGACTGGTCCTTTAAGCGAGTCAACAATAATAAATTCCTGCCCCATCCAAGACATTTAATATAGAGCACTCAGCCATAATAAAAAGTAGCTGAGAATTTTGTGAAGGCCATGCAATAAGAATGTTAACAGCTAGTTGTCAAATGTGATATTAAAAGTAATTCTGAAATGTCATGATTTGGTAAATTACTCAATGTCAACTCGAGAAATGAGAAGACAGCCTGAATGATTTTTGTCTTACTCATAACAAACACACACTGCCATACCTCTTAATACATAGATTTTTAAACAAAAAAAAAGTCAAGATTTTAATCCCACAATCCCAAAAGTTGCTAACCACACAAGGACACACATCACAATCTTCACGTTCAATATACTGTCCTCTCCGAAAATTAGATTTTCTTTCAACGAGCATTGCTCTTAAAGAAACTACAGTGGACTAAGTTATAATCTCATGGTTACACTGTTACTGCTTGCAGCTTATCAAAAGGGCACAAAAGAGGAAGCAAAAGCACAAACAGTATTATGTCCACTTGTGAACATTCAAGAGAAACTTTAATAAATAGTATACTACCCCTGTTTCAATAATAATGGTATCAAACGTTAATATTCCAATTTCAACTCCACAGGAAAATGCATGCAGTTATAATTTTTACTAGAATAAAGCCGCCACCTTGATCCTACAAAACAATCTTTGGGTGGGATGGGGGAGGAGGAAAGAAGCAATGATAAATTGACAAAACAGGGAGGGGGGCATGACAGGCTGAAGACTTCGGCAGTGACGTTCAGCACTTAAGTTTTCAAAATGCAAAAAGGACATTAGATATCTAAAAAATTTAAATCAAAATTATTTGCATTTTATAGGAGCTCGGTTCCCATGTTCACATGGCTTAATTGCCAATACATTCTGCAGTTACATCGTATTCTTTACTCACCTTAAGACTTGATTCATAGTCAGTGTTCACCTTAAACATCAACCCAAGACGCAAGTGAATCTCGTTGGCCCGAGAGAAGCTAGGATCAATATAAAGCACTTCTTGAAATGCTTTAATTGCCCTGAAAATAGAACAAAAGTAACTTAGCATCCTTAGTCTTAAATTTATTTGAAGGAAACACTTTCTTCATAGCCTTGTCTCCTATGAACAAGCAGAATTACGAACTTGTTTTCCCCTCCATCATACCTTCTGTTACAACAATAGTTAAACCTAACTGAAGCATCAATAGATGTCTAAAAAGTCAGAGAAAAATACTTTTAACATTGGAAATGAAACACTTGTCATCTAAAATGGCATGTTACTGTCTAATCCCTAATATGTATTTCGATGTACAGTGCCCCATCATTTAGAAGGACACTCTCGAACAAACATTACTTGCTGACGTGTATGAAGACTAATGTAACAATTTTTTTTTAAAGAATGGAGCTTTGTCTCTTCATTTTTCTCCTGGTCCCAGCCACAGTAAAACAAAACAATTAATAAGACTGCTGTTTTCTCAAATATGCACAAAACACTAAATTACATTCTACTGCTTTTTTTTTTAAGAAAGACTTTATGCCCCAAAGAATCACATGCACAAAATCTAAATTAGGACCATCAGGTCACTTTGAGCTTCTCTTTCTTTTTTTTAAAATTGCAAAGCAAAGAAAAGACGTTCCTCTCTGTGGACAAGCTATGTGGCAGCTTTGTCTTAATTTGTCTTTAGAATATTAAACAGGGATGAAGTATGCAGCATTCTGGTCAGCTTTAACACTACAGCAGATAAGCACAGCTCAGGATTCAGCAGATTTTGACATGACGTAACTGCATAAACTGCATGAAATAGTGGTCAATATAGTTTAAACAACAATTTTGCCCAATGTAGTAGACAGTACAAGTGATTGGGACTGTTCACATGCATTAAGCTTTGTCAGTTTTACCAAGGCCTCTACTCCAAATGCTGCAACATTTGGAGTAGGGACCTTGTTTCTCACCCATATGCTAACAAGGTTATATCTTACTGTCCAAACTGAAGAACTCCAAAACTTAATTTGGATGTTGGGGTGCAACTTCTCCACCACCAGCTCCAGCCAATATTTCTTCCCTCCAAAGGCTTTTGTTTTAGTCAAATGAAAGTCCAACTATAGCTTAAGAGGTTATGTCTGACTGTGATATGCAAACATATGAAGTGATGCAGCATCACATGATCTTGCTCGCTCATGCAGCCCATGGTAAGCTACAACCACTGTAAGATTTTCTTAAAGATTATTTTTCTTAACTCAACAGATTTCCTACCCCCTCTCCAGGTGCTGTGATCAATAACCACATAAATTGGAAACCCTGCGTAACTACATTTATAAAAGTGTCCAACATACAAATACTCATACTTCTGAATGCAATCCCATATAGGGATGAGAGTTTAAGGATGTGACATAAAAATGTTTCCTGTCCTTATGAATGGCTACTTTATATTGTCCTGCACTGTGTTCCAACTTCAGTCCAAATCAAATGGCAAACAAACTCAAGTACAGAACCCACTCACAACCTTTATTGCCTATACGGTCTGCGAAGAGTCTGCGCTCAATGCACTGCACCAGGTATACTGGCAACATTTAACACAATATGGCATCAAAAAGACCTAAGGAAAATCAAAGTAATTGAGAATCGGGTAGGAAGTTCTCCATTGGTCAGGATCAAAACTAACACAAAAGGAGGATGCTGTTATTATTGGAGACTAATAACTTAGTCCCAGGACATTGCTATCATAGTTCAACTTTCCAGATACTGAAGTGGTTCATGACCAGCAGTAAGACCTGAAGAACATTCAGGATTAGTCTGATAAGTCACAATCTCCTGAAAGATAAAACCTTAGCACCACTGCTGAATCCCAAACACAAGTTCCTGGGGTTCACCACCTAATCAGGTCTTAAATGGTATAGCCAAATAAATATTGTGATTATAAAGTGCAGCTCAAATGCCGAGTAAGTTGTGGTCAGCAACTTGCCTCCCAACTGTTCAAAGCTTTTTCACTAAGTGCAAGTTAAATAAAATACTCTCCACCTGATCTAGAAGAGTGCTATTCCAATGACACTCGGAGTTCAAAACCATTCTTGATAAAGTAGCTTATTTAACTGGCACACTATTCACCATTTTAAACACATACATGCTTCCTCCAAAGAATCAGAGAAAAGATGTACTGAAGCAACTAGCTGTTTTCACAGCACCTTCCAAACCCACAACCTATTTAGAGGAGGACAAAGGGCAGCAAGCATTTAGGAACACCAGAACTTGCAAGTTGTCCTCCAAGACACACAACATCCTGAATTGCAAATATATCAATAGCTCCACTAATGTCAAAGGGTTAACGTATCAAAAAAAATACTCACAATAGTATTGTGCATGCATAACACAAACTGCAATGATTTGCAAAGACAGCTCCCCTCTTTTCAAAGGCAACCAGGGGAGAACAGTACGGCAGTGCAAACAGATAGGCAGACTCCAGACATTTACATTTAATCTAGAGGAGTTTGTTTCTTTACTTAATTGTTAATGCTTCCTTTAGCTTTTGTAGCATAAATCCTTGCAATTTAGTGTCTCTTGCCCTCCAGCCCATCAGAAACTTAATTTTGTTCTTCAGTCCTTCCCCCATTTCACTTGCTCAAAACCTTTTCAGCACTAAGGATGAATCAACCCGAAATATCAATTCTTTGTTTTCACCGACACTCTTACACTTTCTGTTTTGATCTTAGCTTAAAATTAAAGCCAGGCCACTGAAGAGAAAAACTGAAAAGAACATTTATAGAAATAGTGGAAGAAATCTGTAACCGTCACTGAATGTCGTGGATACTGGATCAATTTAAACTTTAAAAGATGAAAATGAGCAGATTTTTATTGTGTGATAGGGAACTGGACAAATGGCTTGGGAATGGAGTTGAGGATCAGATCGACCAAGATCAATAGGCCAAATATGTACCTCTTAATTCTGTACAATTCGTATCCTAAAGATTGCAATCTTGCTCTGAACAAAATAATTTATTCAACTTCTTTTGCTGCTATGCAATCACATTATTGAATCCTGTCCGACAATTTTGAGCAGAATGAAACTTGAGATTTAAAACAATAAAACACTTTTGCACAGGCTCAATTACTTTCAAAAGCACAACTTCATTCTGATTTGGAAGGAGGTTAATAATGGGAAAAATTCAAAGATCCAAAATCATAAAACATGCATATTATCCAACCAAAATGTTGGACATACACACTCAGCAAGTCTGGCAGCATCGAGGAAGATTAAAATAGTTAATGTTACAGTTTGTAACCTTTCATCAGATCTCATGCAATTAATGATGAAAGGTCACAACCTGAAACTTTAACTCTTTCTCTCCCCATAGATGCTTACAGATTGTTCTGAAAGGTCACTGAACTCGAAATATCAGCTCTGTTTTCTGTCCACAGATGCTGCCTGACCTGCTGAGATTTTCCAGCAATTTGTTTTTGTTTTCCAGCATCCACAGTTCTTTTGTTTATTTGTTTCCAGATTTGCAGATTATTTCAAGCATTTTATGTTTTGATAGCCTATGTTTTATGTTCGATCAAAAAATATTAACTGCGCTGATGGCTTAAAGTTTGCACATTTTTATTTTAGAATATGAAACTGCCTTAAAAGGTTACAACAGAACTATTATTTTGTACTGCTGTTTGTATCTCAAATTCACACGCACAAAACAAAGCATGTGATTTAGTGACACCATGTGGCCAAAACTTCACAGTAGAGAACACAAAAAAATGCTTCCAACAAAACCACTGCAGACTCTGTAAATGACAAAAGCAATAGCACTGAATGCGCAACTATTAAATTATCCAGTCTAAATTTCATAGTACTGTAAAACAATTTTAGGACATCAAAGAGTTACACTAACTGCCCCTTCCCGCAATGCAGTTTCCTCGAACATGAGATGCTTACCTATGCGAGTTTCTTTCAGGAATGACCACAGTCAACACGGTCGTAAAATAAGACTGCGTACTTATAACCAGCTGGAAGAACAGCATTCTACCTTACTTCTACCTACTTGCAATTATACAATAGTTCCTCTAAAATGGAAGGTAAAAAAAAATTCCCGTTGAAAAGCAAACAAATGACAGAATGCCTGGAGATCTTTATTTAGCAACAAGAGTTTTCAATGAAACAGTTCAAATATTTTAGCATTTGACATCAGAACCAGGAATAACATCCATCCCATATTTTAATGGATTTATGCATATTGTCAACATTGTCCCGGCTCCACAGCAAGTCATCCTTGCAAATCTGTACACTACAGCCTCTCATGCAATGAGAAATGCCAGGTATAAATGTTTGCAATTGTCCGCAATTCTCAAAACCATCACTTCTGGTGTTAAACCTGCCTAAGACCAATTGAACTGATTCCAAGTGACAATATGACTTACAAGAACAGAAATTCCTGGAAATGCTCAGCAGATCCGGCAGCAATGGAGAAGAAAAATCAGTTAACTTTTCGGGTCCAGTGACCCTTCCTCAGGACCAGACCCGAAACATTAATTCTTATTTTTTCTTCACAGATGCTGCTATATCTGCTGAGCTTTTGCACCAACTGTTTTTGTTCCTGATTTAAAGCATCTGCTGTTCTTTTGGTTTTTAGACAATGTGGCTGAGCCTGGAAAGTGAATGGTTGCTTCAAATTTTGTTCAAACTTATTGTTCCTTCCTGTGTGTTGAGCAATTTCCTTTCAACATGGTGCTCAGTTACGAGTACCACAAGGATTTATTCTGGGTCCTCTTCTATTTGTGATTTTTGTAAATGATTTGAATGTAGGAGTGGAAGGGTGGATTTGTACGTTCGCGGACGATATGAAGGTGGGTCGAGTTGTGGATAATGTGGAGGGCTGTTCTAGGTTACAAAGGGACATTGATAGGATGAAGAGCTGGGCTGAGAAGTGGCAGATGGAGTTTAACCCTAAAAAGCGTGAGGTGATTCATTTTGGAAGGTCAAATTTAAAAGCAGAATACAGGGTTAACGGAAAGATTCTTGGCAGTGTGGAGGAGCAGAGGGATCTTACGGTTCAT